AAAATTAAATAAACTTTTTATTGATTTTTTTATTTGTATTGTAAAATTTTATTTTATTTAAATTTTTATTTGTATTCAAATTTTTTTTCCCATTTTATTGTTAATTTTTCAGTATTTATGACTTTATTTGCATTTATAATTTTCCTTTGTATTCAAATTTTCAATTTGATTTATTTTTTTAATTTGCATTATTATTTTCATTTGATTGTATTTTTTTTATTTGATTGTATATTTTTTATTTTTTTAAAAAAAATCATTTTATTTATATTTTCCATTTGTTTTATAATTTTTATTTGTATTGTATAATTTTTCATTTGCATTGTAAAATTTTCCATTTGTAATGTAGATTTTACTTGTATTCTATATTTTCCCCATTTGTATTGTAAAATTTTTCATTTGCATTGTATTCAGGATTTTTTATTTTTTTTTTACGAAGGATTTCATTGGTTTAATCTAATCATATATGGGTTTTGGTATACCCAAGATGTTCGGGAATTTTACAGTGTTACAGTCTGTTTTTTGATTGATTTAAAAAATTTATGTCCCCCCGAAAATTTTTCACTCATATTTTTAGCTTAGACAAGCTTAGACAGACGTTGTTAATGTGATGTCCTACCACAGGCACCTAAAGTATGGTAATCCCCCTTTTTTTAATGAAAAAAATGAAGAGGGGATAATATCTCAAAAATATAAAATTTCCCCGTCAAACACATCTATATGTGTTATATGCAAGCGATTGTATTTTTCCACGTTTAAAGAATGGCCCTTTGGTATAATAAAAATACACAAGGTAAAAAACAAAAGTTGTAAAAAAAGGGGGCCCCTGTTTCGAGACAGTTTCCCAAGGTAATAATTAGTGTTACCTATCATAATTTTGCAAGCTTTCTGTTTTGGAAATGTACTTTTCTTTTTAACCTAAACCCCGCTTTTAGCTTTGATATGCCGTAATCGGACGATTTATTAATGGATACTAAAATTTGCCCCATTGGCAGTTTTGGAGGAGGTTTTGGAGTCGCACTTCGTTTGCCTTATTGATTGGTTAATTGTAATACAGTTTAAATATTAACCAATCAGATAAGGCAAAACATTTTTTTTAAAAAAAAGGGGGGTTTTATCCAACTTCAGGTGCCTGTGGACCCGGTTTGGTGAGAAGCTATGAGCATAACTTGGAAAACTAAATGCTTTTTTTTGTTTTAATATCTCTACAGACCAGTAATTAACTAACTTTTTTCTGTGAAAAAAATGCTCCTTACACTGAATGCTCAATGATCCTTGTGTCGCGGGTTCGAATCCCATTGTGGGACGTAGAGACCGGTCCTTCGGATGAGACGAAATCCGTGTCGCAGTAGGTGCTGGCATGAAAATGATTCCCTCTTTGCTCATTGGCCCTAAGTGCCGAGTATAGGACAAAATTTGTAGCTCTCCACCGGCAAGTGGTGGCGTCATGAAAAATTATACAATGCAAATGAAAAGTTATACAATGCAAATGGAAAATATAGAATACAAATGAAAAAATTATGAATACAAATGATTTTTTAACAATATAAATGAAAAATATACAATGCAAATGAAAAATTATACAATAAAAATGGCAAATATATAATGCAAATGAAAAATTATACAATACAAATGAAAATTATAGAATACAAATGGAAAATTATAGAATACAAATGGAAAATTATACAATGCAAATAAAATTATACAATACAAATGAAAAATTATACAACACAAAAGGAAAATTATAGAATACAAATAAAAACTATACAATACAAATGGAAAATTTTACAATACAAATGAAAAAGATCGAATATTGCAACGTTTGACTTGCCATACATGAATATTGAATTTAATGGGTGCAAAATGTAGGCAGGAATCAAGAGTTAGAGTTGGAGAAGTTGTAAAGTTGAATAAGCGCTTTGGTGTTAACTTTGGTAAAAATTTGTGATTTCAAAAATGTCGAAAAGTTCCTTGGAATTTTTAATATTTACATTTGATTTATACCACTTCTTTTATTTTGTTGAACAGTACTCTTGACTGTTCTTAACAGATTTGTGAGTAAAGAAAGATGCTTGGTAGTGCAATTAACCTATCAGGACAGCCGTATTTTGTTATTCTAATATAATACTGTATTCTGCATCTAGTAATTTAATAACTAAATATAGTAAAGATATCAGAAGTCGTAGCAACATAAAGCAATTATATAAATGTAATAAAAAAGTGACATTAAAAAAATAAATAATTTCAAAGCAATCACTGAAATATAGATAAATACTCTCTACATTCTTTTTCTTTTTTAATCCTATGTCTTCCTGTTAAAATGTGGAGATTATATATAAATCATTATTTTCAATTTAAGCTCATGTTTTGGAGACCTGAATCAATGACACATTTTTCTTTGTGTCATGCTTTGCCTTATTTGAAGCCTGGCTACTGTTTGGTCCTGTTGTAGTTTGTCTGGACATTCACCAGAGGTATAGATTGAGACGGTCTTTTGACGTTTATCACAGACTTGTGAGGCGGAGATTCATGTAAAGGTATATGATCATTATTTTGATTGTTTGCTTCTAGTTTTTTATTTAAATTGTCTATATTTACACCGTCTGTAACAACGGCTTGTTCCCGAGTCCTTCCTCCATTTTGTATCACGTTTGTAAATGCTTACACTATTATTTATAAGCTCCCCTTGCTTTTCTGTCGGCTGCACTTAGTTTGACATCTTGGATTCATCTTCTGTTTGCACATCCTGGTAATATGCTCCAACTTCTTTGATGTCCTCTGCATTATCCTTTTCCAAATCAAAATTCAGCAAGTCCATTTCCGCAGAACAACATCCAAATTGAACATCCGCTATTGAAATGTCGGTAAGTAATTCCAACGGGATTTCTTTGCTTCTAAATGGAATCTTTTTGCCTCCTAACAAAGAAAAATAAACTGAAATATGGATACATTTTATTATTACTTCACTACAATAATAATATAATTGACGTCATAACCCACCGTTTAAAGACGATTCCTAATATCGCCATGAGGATTCCCACGATGGTAACAGACACGACTACTATAATGGCTCGTTCTGTTGGCATCTACAATCAATAGACGTTCAAATATTCTGTCAGTCAACGTAATTTAAGTTTGATTGTCCCAGACATGGAGACAAAAAGACGAATTAGCAAAACTAATATTAAAGAATCTTTATATGATTTTAACTCAAAGTGTGAATCACATGACATAAGATATTATGATAAAGCATACAAATGTACGTATTTGATTATAACCTGTTTTGGTCTGTTATATAGGTGCTGTTTTGGTCTGTGATATAGGTGCTGATTTGGTCTGGGATATAGGTGCTGTTTTGGTCTGTGATATAGGTGGTATATGTGTTTGATTATAACCTGTTTTGGTCTGTGATATAGGTGCTGTGAGTGTTTGATTATAATCTGTTTTGGTCTATGATATAGGTGCTATATGTGTTTGATTATAACATGTTTCGGTCTGTGATATAGGTGCTATAAGTGTTTGATTATAACATGTTTCGGTCTGTGATATAGGTGCTATAAGTGTTTGATTATAACCTGTTTTGGGCTGTGATATAGGTGCTTTATGTGTTTAATTATAACCTGTTTTGGTCTGTGATGCAGGCGCTATCGGTCCCTGTGATACCGGATCTGCTGTTGTGGACTTTACTGTCAATTGAGTGCTTGTTGCTGTAATAGATATATTTGTTGATATCACTGTTGTTGATTTTTTGTGTATAGATGTTGAAAGACTCAAAGTTGTAAAACTTGTTGCTTTTTCTGTCACATTCGTTGTGGGACTATCTTTTGATGTCGTAGAAACTTCTGTTGTGGTACTTTCTGTTGGTATTTTAGCTGTTTGTCTACTTGATATTTCAGGATATTCTGTTGATGTAAAATTTTCTTCTATTATTTTACTACTCTCCATTGATGTTGTAGGACTTTCAGTTGCAGGATTTTCTTTAGTTGTTCTAGAACTTTCTGTTGTTGTTGTTGTTGGACGTTCTGTTTTTGTTGTTGCTGTTGGACTTTCTGTTATTGTTTGACTTCCTGTAGCTGTGGGACTTTCTGTGGTTGTAGTTGTTTTGAAACTTTCTGTTGTTGTTGTGGGACTTTCTGTAGTTGTTGTGAAACTTTCTGCTGTTGTTATTGTTGTGAAACTTTCTGTTGTTGTTGGTGGTGGTAAACTTTCTGTAGTTGTTGTGAAACTTTCTATTGTTGTTGGACTTTCGGTAGTTTCTAGACTTTTGGTTGTTGTTGTTGGACTTTCTGATGTTATTAATGTTGTTGTTGGAAATTCTGTTGCTACTGTTGTTTGACTTGTTATTATAGGGCTTTCCTTTGTTGTTATGGGACTCTCTGTTGTTGAATGACTTTCAATTGTGGTGGGACTTTCTGACGTTGTTGTCGGATTTTCCGTTGTTTCTGTCGTGCTACTTTCTATTGTTGTCATGACTGTGGTAGTGTCCAATAAATCATTAGCCTACAGTAAAATTATTTTTGTGATTATTTCACAAAATCATAAACCTGTTTATAAATGATTAATACAAACAAGGTATGTTCTAGTGCCGTTTATACATACATTTCCACAGACTGCATAGGCTTTATAAGAAATGTCATTACATTTTTCAACAAAAGAGCAACCCGTCTGACCAAAGCAGGTTTGACAATTTATCACAACACCGGTATGCTCTCCTGAAAAATAGAATCAATGCGTCGATTCGAAACTTCCAAAAAAAAACTCCATGGAACAGAAGAGCTAAAAATCTTCAAACTTGTGTGAAAATGTTCTCATGTACACAAGTGTCTTTGCTACCGAGAAAAAAAAAAAGATTTAACTTAGGGTTGGAAATTGGAAGTTGAAGAGAAAGGGGAATCAGTGACTTGTCTTTGTATATCAGATTACCGTTAGGGCTGGTGACCGCTTGTTTATATAAGATGTTATCTGAAATGAATGGAACAACTAAAAATTCATAAAAGATAAATTTGAGTTTGGACGAAATAGTACCCCTGTCTTGGTTGATAGACCTGTCTGGCCACTCCTAGCCAGGTTTCCGGGGTGTTGCTTTTAAAGTTTCTAAGTTTGTTACACAGCACCCTGGGATCTTCGTTCAGACTGACTTCACCGTATAAATAGCTCCCCTCCACCCTGCACTCCTTGTAGGTCTGGCTCCAAGACTTGAAGTCTTCATCATCTGGGGCCAGGGTTTTATTGGTACTCTCTGAACGAATTAATCAAAGACTCAGAGCAATTATTACTCTACTTAAATTAGTGTTATTATTCGCTGCATGTTACTATATACCTAACATTCATAATAGTGTCTGTCTCTGATTTTACAATTTAAGGGAAGTTGCTTTTTAAAATATTTGATGAAAACCTGATGAGCTGATTTCCTACCCTCTGATTCGCAGACTCGACCCCAAGTCCTCCGTACAGTTGTTGGTGTGGATCTGTGCATACTGCTCATACGTAACACAACACAGTTTACTGTTCTCTCTAAATAATGCAATAATTGGTATAATTGTATATTACAATCTAGTAAAATTGTTACTAGTAAACGATGTACGTAATTCAATGCTGTTAAAAAGAAGGAAAAAATTATATACATTGTAAAACCTACCGCTAGGAAGTGTTTGGCTTGGTGTAGCTCTGTAGACGTTGTAGGTGGCGCTTCCTCCGCAGTCGTTCACGTGACTATCATCGTCAGAGGGACAATTATAATCACATTGTGAGGGAGGGAGCATGGAAAACGTTTTCCAGGCAAAGACACGTGGTGCTCTGAAGGGGTAAAAAAATCTTTTGTAAGAAAACATATACTTATCACCAGCATATACTTGTTTTTAATATCTAAATATCAAAATAATTATATATATGTTTTATCAATTATTTTATATGTATCATCACGCCTGTATGCCCAATCATAACATACTATGTTTTATGCATAAATAAACCTCAGAATGGACTCTTACTTTCAGGGGATGCTCATAACTACATGGCACCTTATCGCACATTTGATGTTTTAGAGTTCCGTATTTGCTCTGTTCCAAAATGTGTATTGTTTGATAATTTTTTAGCTTGAATACTGTTCGTTATCTCCTTTTATTTTATCGATATACAAAAGAGCAACATCGATTTCCTGTAAAACCTATATAAAGCAATTGTCAAGCTGAATACTTCTACACAATATACAGCACACCTTGAGAGCGAAGTGATAAGAGGGGCACCTCTCCTGACAGAGACCTACTGATCCCCGGACTAGGGTGTGGTTCGATTGTACCCCCAGGCTCTCCACATCCTGGTCACCATAGCATCCTGAAACACAATGAAATATACATTACATATGCTTGTTGACTTTTCTTTTGTCGTTTTAATAGAACGTTTACATTTGTCATATTTTTATGATTTTTTTGTTTGAAACATATATGTTTTCAATTTCAAAATACCTTTTTAGAAAAAAAAATTGTAAAGCTCATATGTATTTTTTTGATTATTAACAACTTTATTTTAATATCCACTAGATAAGTTCATCATATGTGCATGGTATTTTATAATTCAAATTTTGAACCTGAAAAGATCTAATAATCAGATAATTTTAAAGGTAAAGCACAACAAAGGAGCTAAGTCCTCTGCATTGCATAACTATCCACACCTTATGGGTGTGTCTATGGTTCGTTGATATGATCAACCTTCAGTGAATTAGTATCTTATCAGTGTTTACAAAGTACCCAGAACGTGTATCCAGTCAGAGAGTCTGTGATAAAATCCCGTCCAGTGTAGGGAGGGGAAATCCTCCTTTGTCCCCGGGATCAGAGATTCCTGCCGGTCACTACAGAATTTCTGGGCCTCGATCCAAGTTAAATTATTTGTAGACACTACCAAACTATCTCCTTGAAATAAATACAGATTCTTTTGTTATATGATAATTAAACTGTGAGGTTTGAATTGAAAATTTAAACCAGTAATAATAACTTGGAGATATGATCTCAAGAAAAACAGCTTAAATAAAGAATAATAAAACTTGTAAATAATAACAGTTTTCGTATAAATATTTAAAGTATAGCGTTTTAAATATATATATTTTAAATATATATATTGAAAAGCATCAAACCTGTGTATGCACAAAAGGAAATATTCAAAAGAATTGTACATAACAATTTTCTGACACTTGATATCCACCAATATGATATAACAGTTCACAATCAAAGTAAAAACTGATATTTACGTACGGTGATATTTTCAAGACGTTATCAAATGACATAATGAATTTATCCTTGTTTATCTACAATGGACGGGAATGTATGCCTTGTGAATTATGATAATCTTCTTGTTTCAGCCCTATCTCAATCCATCTTTCTATGCGTCACTGGTTAAATAAAGCATCGAAGGAATTTCCCTTTTTAAATAATTTTTAAATCTAAAATCACTAATAATAGTAAACAGAGTAATAATTATTTCATGCAACATTTCAAAGTCCTCAAATTTCGTTCCTTATTTCTTTTTAAAAGTCTAAAATATTTGCATGGGACCTTGAAAGTTTCTGTTAAAATTGCATTGTGCATGCTATAATTCTTACTAGTATGGTTGACTGGTTTGCTTTTTACGGTGTAAAGTACATATGGATATTTTAACATAGATAAGATTTGAAAAAAAAAACAGGAAAAAGAAACAAATAGATTAATTTTCTTACCTTGATAAATTAGTAGAGACAAGATAAATAATTTCCAAGTGCTCATGGTCCCTTTTCTTTGGCGGGGTTTACACTGATTTAACTTCCGCGTGCCGACACCCTACAATTCTTCACGGACATTTTAAATTCACAGGGTTGCCACGACGATAGACGTACATAATACATCGAAACCGGACTCCTCTTGTCCTAGTCAATGTTAACATGATAAATGAAGGCTTCAAAGAAACCCAGACGGCTGACTTCTAAGACTATAAGGTTAAGTAGTTACCGGTACTATAGAATTAAAATCGTGGAATCATGATAAGGTGTTAGCTGAATGGATATAAATAAAAGAAAAATTAACCAAGCCTTCTAAAAGTGATTTTAAAAAAGAGAGTCGTCAGATATAGAAGGTATTTTCTCTTTTATTAATAGTACACGACACTATTTTATCGACTACTCTGTCGATTTAAAAAAAATGTTTAAATGTAACATGAGAAAAAGGAAAAAAATGTAGAAATTTAGATTCGTGTGTCGTTTATATTTTAAATGGTTTGAGGAACAGAACTTAATCCAGTCCTAATATACTGTGTAAAACTATAAGTTATATAAAAACATTAGCTAAATATTGAAATATTTCAGTTAAAATAAATTAGAAAATATATTATTTAAATGGAAACATTCACACGTTTGTCAGATTGGATTAACAACCAAGCTCTATGATAAACTTGATGACTTTAACTTTTCTATCATCAACTTCCCTTACCTATGCAGCAATATACCTTCATAACCTGACGGCGTGTATATCTCTCAGTTGATTCGATACACAAGTACATGTTCTACGTATGAATAATTTCTAAAACGAGGTAAATTATTGACAAACAATTTGATGAATCAAGAATATCAATAGTCTCGTTTAAAGTCATCATTTCGTAAGTTCTTTGGTCGATACAATGACCTTGTCAGCAATTACAAGTTTTCATTGGGTCAAATTCTGACTGACATTTTTCATACTAATTATTTGTCCATTATTTATACACTGAATTGACGACGGGTTTTCCCGTTATTTCCCGATCATGACAAGGAGCACAAGGCTGGTTCGACTGGTCGACAGCGGATGCTCACTCCTCCATGGCACCTGATCCCACCTCTGATGTTTTGGAGGTCCGCGTTTGCTCTGCTCCTATTTCGTATTGTTTTATGGAGCTGTGATCTTGAATAATGTTTGTTATCTGCATATTCTTCATTAAAAGTGTCAGTTGGATGTTAAGATCTTGCATTAAGCAAATGAAGGACAATATAAAAAAAGACATATCCTTCTGTGTTCAATACCTCAGAAGTGAAAACGGAATTACATAGACTACACAATCAGCATGTCCTGGTCCCAGCTGAGAAAGCGGGTAACAATATTGCATTTGATTGTAAGGCTCTTTATTTCGATGTTATTTTAGATTCATTCTGCAAGCCGTAATCAACTTATACCCATAGCTGCCTTTCTAGGGAGGTAATTCTATCAAAATCATAAGTCCGCTGTAAATACCTTTAATATTCCCCCCAAAAAAAACGATTTTGAATTACCATACTTATACTGGATTCCTAAACTAAATAAAAATCCTTACAAGGAAAGATATAGAGCGGGTTCTACGACAAGGAGCACATGGAGGGTGTGACCGAACGGTAGGGGATGCTCACTCCCTTATCGCACCTGATCCGAAATTTGAGGATTTAGAGGTCCGTGTATACCGTGCTCCTGATTTGTATTGTTTGAGTGGGCTTACGAGCTTGAATAATGCTCGTTATCTCCGTATTTCATTCCAGTAAATGTTCTGTCAAGCCTCTTTCTATGCTCCTAACTAATTACCATTAGCAGCAGTCAAGTATCCAGATCTGATTTACATCACTTCTCGAATATATTGTATTGTTGTAACAATTGATGTAAATCAGATGTAGATACTCCAACATATCAAAGAACTTTTAGAAATTTAAAATTTTTTAAAACAAAAATCCAATAACATCAAAACATACGAATTTTCAACACTTTATACAACCATTTCCCACGAAAGAACTCCATGCTTTTTTGCATTATAGACAGCCGCTTTTTCAATGAATATGGAACTGATAAATTGACTTACCTTGTCATTGGTCATTTGCAACATTTGTTAGATAAAAGAAACCTTTGTACACAAAAGTACTCTGAAATTGATATTAAAAAGCTGCTTGAGTTTCTGATTGACAATATGTAGTTTTTAGAGACGATGTCTTCAACAATCTGTCGGAATTTTGACGTAGATTTCTCAACGACGTATTTTTAATCAACAATACTACTTCCATTCATAGGTCGACTAGATATAACCCGGTGAACTTCAACAAAAAGATACCACAGAGTCTGACACAACAATTTTTACATTTGGATATTTAACTAGAAAAAGATATAAATAGTAATCTAACACCAAAGTTATATAATAAACGTCGTGAACGTGATGACTTCAGCATCACGATTGTACTCTTCTCCCTTAGTTATGTAGCAATATATCATTAAAACCTACTTACGGGTTTTGTATCTCTTGGTTGATCCGATACACAAGAGTATGCCTTACATAAGAAAAGGTTCTAAAACGAGGTAATCTAATGGATGGCACCTGATCCCACCTCTGATTTTTTGAGGTCCGTGTTTGCTCTGCTCTTAGTATTATGTATTGTTTCGTGGACTTTAGAGCTTGAATAATGTCCGTTATCTCCATATATTTCACAAAAAAGTTGACGAAACAAGCTAGAATATCAACAGACTCGTTAGTCTCATTTCTTAACTTATATGTTCCGTACAGTGACCTTGTCAGTAAAAACAATCTTTCATTAAGTCAGATGCCGACTTACATTCTTATGCTCATTGTTTGGTCATTATTTACACACTGAATTGTCTAAGAAATTTCAGCTTTTACTGATCATGTCGAGGGGCAATCGGTGTGTAAGTGGTCGGCAGAGGATGCTCACTCATCCATGAAACCTGATCCAACCTCCGATGTTTTAGATGTCGTTGTTTGATCTTCTCCTGATTTGTTTTGATTGAATGGACTTATGAGCTATAAAACTGTTATCTCTGGTTCATTGTTGTTTTTTATTAATATTAACCCCCACCTTTTATATCTCCTCTTGATCACCCAAAGGGCAATTTAAGCTTCTTGGATCTTAATTTTTATATTATAAATCTAGGTAACGTTTCATATATCCTGGTATTAAATGTAGAATTTGCCTTTTTGGTTGATAAATACAGAGAATGATGACTGGAAAAATGGTTATTGCCATATTTCTAAAAATGGGTAATGTTAATGGATATTTGACAATTTGACAAATATCACTTTTTAAAATACCATACACACGCAAGCACAATTCTGGGTTAAACTCATATTTGCAGATTGCACACAGATATTTCCTCCTTAATATATAATTGAAGGGTTTAAATGTTTAAGCCATCAACTCTTTATATAAAGTACTTGAACTTGTATAAAGTTCTGTATTTTTCTCTTTTACACGAAATAAATCTTTCAAAATTTGGAAACTTGAATAATGGAGACATTTTTCTTGTTCACTGAATTCCCACTGATTGTAGTTGGCACTGCTATGCTGTTTGTCGTTGCGTTAGCAACCGGCAATTTGACCTCACCATCTTTTGATTGGCTTGTCTTTGACTTATCAACATGTGGCACATTTATTTCCATTTCTTTTGTACTTTCAGGTGCTGTTTTTGATGCTTCTTTAGTTTCGGTCGACTTGATATCTGTTGTTGGAATCTCCTCAGGATCTTTGGTCTTATTTTCTGGTACGATATCTGTATAATAAGGTACATTTTCCACTTTCATAATTTTACTCTTGTCTTCTGGACTTTCTTTATTGTTTGGATTATTGTCTACTTTATTTTCTGTATTTATTCGCATGTAATTATCGTACAGTTTCTTTTCTTTATCTATCTCAGTGGTAGGCTTTTGGAGGAGACCATCGGTCTGTCCTGGTTCTGCTTCGTCTGTATTACCAATGGAGGAAGTTCCAGCCACTACTTCTGATTCCTTCAACTGCTTCTTGTCTTTCCATTTGCTTGTTTCGTTTCCTGTGTCTCTCTGTTTCGATACAGGTGGATTTTCTCTTTGTGTGTCTTTCTGTGTCGACACACGTGGGTTTTCACTAGGTGTACCTTTCTGTGTCGATATAGGAGTTGGAGATTCGGGGACACTTGTTTTACTCTTTATGCTTTCTTTCTTGTACAGTTCGACTGATACATGCACTTTGTCCCGTTCACTGCCGATTGCAATGTTCTTTTCTAACTTCTCCCCGGGGACTTCATCTGGTTTACCAGACTTTTGTCTTCGTTTTCTCAATGGAAATATGTTATACCGATTATATTCAAGAAATCTCAATTAATGCAAACTTTACAATGATTTCCTTACAATTGCAGAGACTACAGAGACGACACCTACCGGATGCAGACAACTCCTATAATTATCAATACCGTCACCACAACCACGAGAGATACTGTAATAGCAATGGCTTGCTTTGCATCGTCACCTTTAAATATATTGTATACAATGTTAGACTCTGAATCACCATTTGAATGTTTCTATGTGTAGTAATTAGTTTCACTTCTTGGTCTAAACACGTGTTTTGATAAAACAGTGACTCAAGGAGTGCACAAAATTGAAAGTCAAATATATTATTTACATTTGATGTCTGGAATTTGTGTTGTAGAAAAGTTTTGGGGCATTTTTATATTATTGTTTATGTAAATTAATGTTGATATCCTTTTTAAAAAACAAAGACAATACCGATCCCAGTTTTGGGTGCAGGTGCAGCAGTAATTGCTCTTGAAGTGCTGGTTATCGTGGATGTTTCTCCTGTGCCTTGTGTGGGTGGTAGCAGGTCGTCCTCCTTTAAATTCAATTTTTTTTTTAGTTTAGATCTTTTAAAACTGTTACATGTGGCAATGATTTGGCAGTATGTTGAATTGATTGATACCTACATTGCCACAAATTGCAGTTGCTTTCACTGAATCGCTATTACAGTTCTCTACATAGGAACAACCCGCCGATCCTTGACAAATGCTGCAGTCTATCACAACTTGCTCACTCAGCTGTTGTCCTAAAAGTTTCTCACAGAACTAACAATAATTATATACGCTACATACTAGTACATCAATATATCCAATTTACCAATATTCCAATGTACAAGAACTCATAATAATAATAAATCATAATAATTATATTATTTTTAAATTGATAATTGCACTTCAAACTTAAATTGGAAAATGTATCAATATATCAGTTGTACGCTATGGCAACAACAATATATCAGTTGTATGCTATGGCATGACTGTCAACAAACCTCTATCTTTGGTCTGGAACCTTGCTAGCCACTCCTAGCCAGGTTTCCGGGTGTTGCTTTTGATGTTGTATAACTTATTGCACATTGCCCTGGGGTTTTCATTGAGGCTGACGTTTCCGTAAAGGTAGCTCTCCTTCTCCCTACATTCCGTGTAGGTTTGGTTCCATGACTTAAAATTCTCTTCATCTGGGGCAATCGTCTTATTGGTACTTGCTAAAAATATGAGGATGCCATGTTGAACTGTTAGAATCTTGAAGATATCTCACGCAAAAACTATTACGCCTATAAAATTTAAAGCGAATATATAAGAAAACACTCGAATATCCTACGATCATGCCTACCCTCAGATTCGCAGACTCGACCCAAAGTCCTCGGTACAGTTGTTGGTGTGGATCTGTGCATACTGCTCATAACATCCAAGCACAACACAGTTTACTGTTCTCTCTGAAATATCGATTTTTAACTAAATAAACTAATTCTTCATTTATTATGCTTTATATATTGATATAATCATACTTTATTATCGTATTGTAAAAAGGGTATATACATCACTGTTGTAGCCATACGAAAATACTTGAATTAACTGTATCGAACCCACCACTAGAAAGTGTATGACTTGGGGTAGCGCTGTAGACGTTGTAGGTGTTACTTCCTCCGCAGTCATTCACGTGACTATCATCGTCAGATGAACAATCATAATCACATTGTGAGGGAGAGAGACTATTAATCTGGGGAGTTTCCCTTAGGCAAAGACACGTGGTATTCTTAAATTAGAATCGAAGAGTTGCATCATGCAGTGCTATTATAAACAAAACTTATCAAATTTTAGATAATCTATTTATTTAATCTGTTGTCTAGATCTATATCGGAAAGAAATTATTGTCACTATTTTATAATAAATTAAAATCAATTGATTACCTGAAGAGCGAAGCTGCTGGATCCACACCTTTCTTGACAGAGCCCCACTGAACCTCTGTCCAGGGTGTAGTTTGACAGGATCCCAAAATCTTCCACGGTCTGGGCACCATAACAGCCTAAGAACCATTTACACAATTCTAGATAGCTCTGTTGTCCCACCCATTTTTGTTTATCACGACATCCCTCTTGTATTCAGATCACTTATTCACAATTATTTTGGTGATTTGTTAAAATGGAGAGTTTTATTTAATAGCTTTTTTTTAAAAATTTTTTTATATTTTTTTTTTTTTTTATTCTAGTGGTTAGTTGATGAAAAATTAAATTTGTAGGAAATAGACGTTTAATTCCAAATTTGCTTACCCAGAACGTGTATCCAGTCAGAGAGTCGGTGATAATATCTTCCAGTGTGGGGAGGGGAAATCCTTTTTGTCCCCGGATCAGAGATTCCTGCCGGTCACTACAGAATTTCTGGGCGGCGATCCATGTTAAGGTTCTGGTGATTCCAAAAAACTCTCTCCTTGAAAAGAACAAAAACAATATCCCGTGTATTGGAGATAAATTATGATTTCTAAAAGTACCAACTTCATTATTTTGTCCAGTCTGATAGGATTATGTAATTTAAAATATTACAGACAAAGACTCTGCTGAAATCAATACATTTACACTTGATGTGTAAACAGTTTGTGAAAGTGAATCCAATTTGGCTGAGATTTTGTGTAAAGAGTTTTAAAGGGCAATCCCTTTGTTTTCGACTTTATCAAAACCATCTCCCCTTGCACCACTCCTATTCAAAAAAATTTGATTTCTCATCAAATGATATGGTAAACGCAACCTGACAGGACGATGGCATTTTCAAAATTCAAGGTTTTCCTAAAAATATTTTATAACTTTTCCAGAACTAAAGGGAACACTAAGGCAAACGTAAATTTGGGGAAACAACTAGTAACTTCCAAACCCACAACACACGACTGAAAATCAAAATTTATTAAATTATTAAAAAATACTCTTTACCTTGCTCTATAACAGTAAGAGGAGGGGATTGTTTACCTCCCTCCAACATCCCCCCTGGACATCAACAGAGGGCGGATCCCTCCTCATCAACAAATGGGCGGCAACAGAACCAGTTTTCTACTTCCGCTACTACTTTTCCTCAATCCTCTATAGAAATTTAAATTTCAATGCTCTGACGAGAACTCCATGTGATTTTTTTTTACAGCCAAAAAAAGCAGGGATTTAAAGAAATTTTTTTTTTTTATAATACAATTAATCCTTTTTTTTGAATAGAAAATATGCAACTATTTCCAAGGAAGAAAAAACCCCGGGCCCTTTTCTGTTTTTTGTTACTGATAATAATTAATGATTAACATTTAAAGGGAAAATTTCATTAATTATTTGTGTGTTCCTTTCCATCTTGAACTTCAGGAAACCCGTTTATTTATGTTAAAATCCATTCCTGTCATTAAATGCGACCAAACAAACGAAAACTTTTCGAAGACTTCTGAACATCTCCTTAAACAAAAAATTCTCCTTTCAAAAATTTTTGGGGAATTAAAATTCCCCCTGAGCAAATATCTAAATAATTTCATTATTTTGGGAAAAAAAAACTCCATGTCCATTTGAAATCCTTTTTTATCTTTTTTAAGAGCTGCATTGGGAAAAAGCAAACCAATTTTAGAATAAATATCATGCCTCATAATGTATGTGAAAATTAGCAAAATGAAATGATGGGGTAACCTACATTAATTCTATTATTTGTTGTTTTTTTTTTTTCCTTGTTAATTTTATGCTAAATGAAAAATATTTTGGAGATAACGAACAGATATTCATTTAAAATTAAAAAACATTTAAGAAAGGAACCGAAGGCAACTAGTTTTCGGGGCCTTTTAAAA